CTCAGATGGAGTCATGAAGACTCAAACATGACAGAAATGACTGAACAACAACAACAACAAAATGTGGTGAATGTCTGCAGAATGTCTATGCATGCTCCAAATTCTCCACTTCCATTACTAATTGTCACAACTCCCTCACAAACGGGCTTCCCAACCTCTTCCACACAGGAACTGCATCAGTCAAGTACTCTAATGTCCCTGTGTAGGCTTCATAAGCACTGGGCTTATTGCCCAGTCCCTCATTACAAAAGAATAAATACAAAAGAAAGAGAGTCCCCAGACACGTGTCTACCCCTACCTGTCAGCTGCGAGCAGTCCTCATTGGAGAGTTGCCAGGGAAAAGAGAGAGAGATTGACCACTTGTAATTCTGGTATGTACTGTACACTCAGTCTCAGTTAAGCCTCTCCTAAGTCATCAGTTCTTCAAGCTCCAAAGGCAAGTCGAAGGCTTTGCATAATAGCAAAATACTAACCCCAAGATATCGCAGTCAAAATCAGCTTCAAAACTTCCATAGGTTGGATTGGCAACAGACAGAGAACAGCAGGTTCAAGGATCAGGCCTTCATTGCCCAGTCCATTGATTACATTTATTTTTGGCAAGAGAACAATGGCTACCTTGGGAAGGGGAAGCAGGCCACCATAGAGAAAGCACTTGTTGGTGTTTTGGGTGTTTTGTGTTTTCTCATTCTTACACTTTCTTTTTTTCTAGGTGTCTCACAAATTTTTCCTCTAAAACTCAAAGTTGTTTATGTTGAGCTGGCCATGTAAGAACTAAATCTCTGCTGAAAAAGCAAGCAAACCAAACCTATAAAAAATTCACTCTCTTTCTCTCTCAAACAGCCTTTTTTCAGTGTTAAGAGACTCTATTGGGGCAGTTAGGTGGCGCAGTGGATAGAGCACCGGCCCTGGAGTACGGAAGACCTGAGTTCAAATTTGGCCTCAGACATTTGGTGCTTATTAGCTGTGTGACCCTGGGCAAGTCACTTAACCCCACTGCCTAGCAAAAAAAAACAAAAACAAAAACAAAAAAGAAGAGTCTATTTCTCCTACCAGTGACATGTCACTACCATCATCAGACCTAACCTTTCAAAAGGAAAAAAAAAAGAGTGCTTTTTTTTTTAAGATTTGAAACATTACTTGAAGTAGGTGTTGGGGCTGCAGGAAAAAAAGATTTGAAAATTATCTCTTTTGCACCAACCAAAAGTAACAAAGCCTACTGTAACCACTTTGGTCTCTTTTCTCCCTCATTTTTTCCTGCTCTCTGTGAGTAGCAGCATCTGCTATGCAACCCCTCCAAAAAAAATCTTGAGAGGTTTGTTATATTTCATCTGTTCTAAAGGAGATTGAAACTGAAACAAAATGGGGGGAACCCTTTAAAACATAAAAAATATGGCAGTTTTTACTTTTTATTGCTCGTCTTGAACTTCACAAATAAATGAGAACAAAACCTCCCCCTTTGTCCGCTGGCTGCTGTCTGTGACCATAGGGTTTTGAAGTGGATGTTGTTCAGTATGGATGTTGTAAAAGCCTGATAATGGTGATTGGAAAATATGCTTTTCCTGTTTAAAAAAAAACAGAGAGAAAGAGAGAAGAGAGAGAAAGAAATGAGAGAGAAAGAAAAAGGAGAGAGTGAGAGAGACAGAAAGAAAAGGTGGAGAGAGAGAAAGAGACAGAGAGAGAAGGGAGAGAGAAAGGTGAGAGAAAAAGAAAAGAGAGGGAGAGGGAGAGAGAGAGAGAGGGAGAGGGAAAGAGAGAGAGACAGATCGTTTCCCACAGGTCTGTTGTTTCTTTTCTCCTGCCCCCCCCCACTTTTTTGCTTAAAAACTCTTTTGGAGTGGGAGACAGTGCTATTTGGGGGTAAATAGGAACAGGAGCGGAGCTCCAGACCTCATCTCCCTCACTCCTTTGTCCTTCTGTTCATTCTAGGAGGTCCAACTACCTGCTGGTTTCTGTTTAGACTTCCTGTACAGTTATTTTCCTGTACTAGAGAACTAAGAGAACTTTGCCTTGGGGGTTGGGGGTTGTGAAACTATGGGTCATTGACTAATATCTAGTACCCAATATTCCCATGGCACTTGCCGCCCAAGGAGAATTCATAACACTGCCTGGAAGAGAGGGTTGAATCTTTCAGCAGAAATATCCCTTGATCTTTATAAAGGACCTGAGTTCAAATCTGCTCTTACTTCCTAGGTGACAAGAAAACAAATCACTTGTACCTGCTTCACAGGAGGCTGAGATGACAGAATAATAGTTGGAAAATGCTTTGCAAACCTTCAGGTGTGATAGAAATGTCACCTGCTCATATCTCCCTTCCCTGACCTTAAGTTTCCTCGTCTGGAAAATGCTGTCAATGACTTCTCTACCAACCCCCTTCACAGGTTTGGAGGGAGAGCCAACTAAGTAACAGTTATCCCTTTAGAAAGGTCCTTCTTTAGTGAAATAGGGTGTTCAGTCAGTCAGTCTCCCCCATGGGCAGGATGGAGGCCTGAAACCTTCACAGAGGAAGTCGTTCAAAACTTTGCCAAGAATCCTGAGACTTGTAGGATTTTGCCCTTTTCTTAGTTTGGGAATATAGCACTATGGTTATATCTCTGATCATTATGTGTGTGTGTGTGTGTGTGTGTGTGTGTGTGTGTGTGTGTGTGTGTGTGTCTGTGTCTGTGTATTTGTATATGTGTGTGTGATTCCTTTTTTTTTTTCAGTGAGGCAATTGGGGTCGAGTGACTTGCCCAAGGTCACACAGCTAGTAGGTGTCAAGTGTTTGGTCTGAGGCTGGATTTGAACTCAGGTCCTCCTGACTTCAGGGCCGGTGCTCTATCCACTGTGCCACCTAGCTGCCCCTATGTGTGTGATTCCTTAAGAAAGGAGGCTGAACTAAGCTATTTCTTTATGAGAAGCTGAGAAAGGTTTAAAAAATTTTCTCTCTCCAAATTTCCCTTCCCCATGGCGAGGCACTAGCTGGCATCCATTTCTGACTTGTTTCCTTGCTAGCTTCAAGTTGTTTATTTTTTGTGATTTTGCTTTCTCTTCACATAAAAGCTATGGTTGAACATGACATTTGTGGGTTGCCGGTTTGTTCATCAGTGGAATGCAAAGTGGGCTGATGGGAGATGCCAGCAGTTAGCTAAAATAAAAGTACAAAAAAAAAAAGAAAGATCAGAAGAATCAATTCTGTTCTAATGACCAGATCTTAGAAATTATCTGGGGTCTAAGAGCTTTTATTCATTTTTATTAATAATTGACAAATCTCCAAACAGGGGGATTTTAAACTGAACCCCCTCCATACTAAAGCAGAACAGTAGGAACTTGGGTAACCTGGGGCTAGACATCATCTGCCTTTTCTGTTTTATTCTTTAGGAATAAATATTTATATAGCACCTACTTATATATTCTTTAGGAATAAACATTTATATAGCAGCCAGGCATTGTGCTGAGTTCCCTCCCCCCCCCCTTTTTTTTAAACAAATATTATCTCATTTGATCCTTACAACAACCCTAGAAAGTAGATGCTATTATTATCCCCACTTTACAGTTGAGGAAACCAAGGCAGACAGAAGTTAAGTGACTTGCTCAGGGTCATACAGGTAGTAAGTATCTGAGGCCAAATTTGAAATCAGGTCTTCCTGACTCCAGCCCAGCACTCTACTGCACCACCAGCTGCCTTTAAGAGAGGAAAGGGAGTGTGGGGGGGAGAAAAACAGAGAGGGGGGGTGGGGGAAAAGAGAGAGAGAGAGAAAGAGGGGGTGGGGTGGGAGGAGAAAGAGAGAGAGAGAGAGAGATGAAGGAGGGAAGGAGAGAGATTTGAGGAACACGAAAGCTCAGCCCTCTAAGGAGACACAGTGGGATCTTGGAGGATAGAGCTCTATCCTTCCCAGAAGGAAGGAGGAAGGGGACGGAGAAGTGAGTGAGTACAAGTCAGTCAACTTTGCTCTTCACAATATCTGCCACTGGTTACATGAGCATCATAGGGTTTAGAGCCAAGGGTATCTTTAGGGATTATGCAATCTAAATCCCTCATTTTACAGAGGGGAAATTGAGCACCCAAGGGAGGTTGTGACTTGTCCGCAGTCACCGAGAGCTGATACTCAAACCCTGATCTTAGGAAAAGTCATTGTTCCTCCCATTATACCACATATCCTAGTTCTCCATCTCAAACTCTCTCTAACTCTCTCTATGCCCCCTCTAACTCTGGAAAAAGAGGTCACCATCTCTATTCCCCAAGGATGGGAAAGGAAGATCTCCCATCTCTATAGCCCTTTAGGATTTATAATGCATTTTGAAGTATCAGATAGCACGAGAATTATATTAGCTCCGTTTTATAGTTGAGGAAAGAGGCTCCAGAGGTACCAGGACACGCTCAGGCTCATGCAGCAGCTAGCAGGCATCCAAATCCAGATTTAAACCCAGGTCCCTCAGTCTCTAAGGCTAGTGCTTGTCCAGCTGCCCAATGCTGCTCGTCATATTTTATGGGAAAGGATATTCAGAGAGACAACTCCTCCAAGGACACACAATAAGTAAGAGGTGAAGACAGGATTGGAATCCAGTTCTCTTGTCTCCAAGGCTAGCATTCACTCCACTACCTCGGGCAGTCTTCTGATAATTCTGATCAAGAACTGAAGAGGACAATGAGTCATGGGACACCAGCACTGGAAAAGATCAACCCTCTTATTTTGGAGAGGGTGAAACGGGCCCAGAGGGGGGTAGGAACAAAAGGTTAGCGGTAGGACCAGCCTTTGGGGATTTTACCCACCCCTGGCTAACCTGGGTATTTTGGAGTACCCATAACTGCCCATGATTCTCGGGGACAGGGTGTTCCATTCCATTGCTTGACCTTGCCGTAGAGGGGTAGAGAGACTTATCTCCCAGCCCTCCTCCCTTTTACCTCATAGGGGTCCCCAGGAAATGGCGACTGCTATAGGTGCTGAGGCTCGAGGCTGTCTTGAAGGTTCAGCATCTTGGAGCTCTGGGCCTCCAGTGGGGGGTCTGGGAGGGCTCTGGCTCTACTGCAGACTGTCGATGACGGAGCAGCATTTGGCAAAGATGTTTTCTGCAGCATCTTCCGCCAGGATCTGAGGGAGGTGGGAGGCATGGAGGGCAAGGGGTCAGCTCGAGGCCCAGGGGAGGGGGGAGGTGCTACCCCTATCCTTACTTCCCCCCAAGTCCATTACCACCACCCCACTCCCAGAAATCAGGACCGCTTGTCATAGGAGGCAGATTTAGAAAGGACTTTAGATACCAACCACACTCATTTCTCAGATAAGGAAACTAAGGCCCAGGTCACAGGAGTGGAATAAATATGAGAGTTAGGATTTGAATCCAAGTCCTCCGACTTCAAATCCAATACCCATGTAACCATGTCATTACTTTTTGCTTTAAGGAAATCTGACATCTAAGAGTGCCAGTTCCTTTGGTGTCAAAGGTGAAAGAGCTAGATCAGGGACTGTTCCCATTTGTCAGAAGGAAAAACTGAGTCCTTGAAAGGGCAAGTCCCAGAACTAGGAGCAATGAGTTGAAGTTGTAAATGGACAAATCTAAGTTGGAGGTGATGAAAAACTGCCACATAATTGGAGCTATCCCAGAATGGGATGGGATGCCTAGACCAGTGACTTGTGCCTCACTAATAATAATAATAATAAACATTTATATAGCACTTACTATGTGCCAGGCACTGTTCTAAGTACTTCCCGATTATTATCTCATTTGATTCTCACAACAACCCTGGGAGGTAGGTGCCATTGTCTCATTTTACAGATGAGGAAACTGAGGCAAACAGAGGTTAGGTGACTTTCCCACTAGAGGTCTGTGGCATTTTTCAAGTGGGTTGTAGTTAAGGAGAAGCTGAGCTGAACCTTGGGGGTCCCTCCCAACTCAGATTCTACAACTCAGACTCAGGGGGGCTAGAAGAAATCTCAGACCACAGAATGCAGAATGTTAAAAACCTTAGATCATAGTACACAGACTATCAGCGCTCAGAGGGAACTTGGACATCATCCAGCCCAACCCCCTGATTTTATCAACTAGAAATGAAATGGTTTGTCCAAGGTCACATACCAAGTGGCAGAACCAGCATTGGACCCAGTATTGAGGGGTTTTTTTTGTTTCTTACTCTGCTGCTACCCAGACTTTCCTGCTAATGGGAACATATACCCTCCCCTTCCCTCTACCCCATCTCATCTGGGACAGTTTTGTTCAACCCCTCATTTTTACAGGTGAGGAAACGGAGGCCAGGCCCATATGAACACCTACATTCCGAAGAAGGTTTTTTTGCTGGTAGAAAGCCAAGATGGGTTCACATAGGGTGTAATGGGTCTCCAACCGCTGTCGTACAATATCCTCAGCATCATCCTCACGGTGTCCTTTCTGGCCTCGAAGCAGCACTCGGTGAATCATGGTCTCCGTGGAGCAGTCAAAGACGATGACGATGTTGGGGGAGCGGCCCACCTGGCAGGGTGAGGCAAGGGAAGAAGCGGCTGCAGAGGTCCATTACAGGCCCCCTGGGCCACCTTCTGTCTCCCTCTCCAATCTCAGAGAGGCAGTGACCAAGGGAACAGTGGGGGCACAGAGCTAAGAGCAGTTCATCAAAATGGCAGACGGGTACATTTTGACTCAATATGAGGAAAAACTTCCTAAGAAGCAGAGCCATCCCAAGGAAGACTGGTCCCAGTCACTGGTGGTATTCAAGAGGAGAGTGGATGATCACGTTTTGAGATGCCAGATTGAGCGTCCCTACTCAGGTACAGATTGGCCTATGAGTAACATTTATATAGTGTTTATTACACTCCAGGCACTGTGCTAAGTTTTTTACAATTATTATCTCTTTGATTCTCAGAACAACCCTAGGAGGTAGGTGTTATTAGTACCCCCATTTTACAGATGAGGCAACTGAGGCAAACAGAGGTTAAATGACTTGCCCAGGGTCACAGAACTAGTAAGTGTCTGAGGCCAAATTTGAATTCAGGTCTCCTTGACTGCAGACCCAGTGTTCTATCCACTGTGCCACCTAACTGCCTCTAATATATATCTGAGGTTTTTGTTGGGTTTTTTGTTTGTTTCTTCCAACTCTGAGATTGCTTCTGTGAATATCAAAGGAAGAGTGGTGGACAGGGAATCAGAAGGCCTGGGTTCAGATCCCAGCTCTTTCCTTTTCTGGGCCTTGGTTCTCTCATTGATATATTGTGGAGGAAGGTGAGAAAGAAGGAATCACATCACAGTTGGTGGGACAACCCCTTTCACACACTGAATGGAACACTGGGCAGCTTGGCTGCAGGGGAAAGTGCTTGGGTTCAAGTTCCATCCTGCTCCTTTTTAGCTGTGTTGACCTCTCTCTGGGCTTCAGTTTCCCTATTTGTAAAAGGAATAGGTTGAGCTAAATGATCTCTTAGATTCTGCCTATCTCAAAAAACTATGAAATACATTTCTGCTTAACCATTAATTAAAGTCACCTACCTCCACTTACTGGGCCCTGGTTCATCTGTAAAATGGGGAGAAAATGGGAATCCCCCAGCCCCTGCCAAAAGTTCTGTTGAGAGGAAAATGCTCTGTCAACTGCAGAGCACCATACAAATACGAACTATTGTTATTGCTGTTGTTATTATAGGTTATATCAAAATTTAATTTTTTATACAAAGTGTTTTTTTTCATAACAACTCTGTGATAGGTTGTGTATCTCTATCCATTTTTACAAAGGGGGCAATTTATGGTTTTATGGGCTGCTAGGTGGCACAGTGGATAAGAGTGCTGGACCTGAGTCAGGAGGACCTGAGTTCAAATCTGACTTCAGCCCTTTACTAGCTGTGTGACCCTAGGCATATCATCTCTTTGCCTCAGTTTCCTCATGTGTAAAAATGAGCTGGAGAAGGAAATGGCAAACCACTCCAAAATCTTTGCTAAGAAAACCTCAAATGGGGTCACAGAGAGTCCAACACAACTGAAATAACTCAACAACAAACTTAGGTTTAAAGAAAGCAAGCAACTTACCTGAGGTCTTCTGCAGACTGACTTTTTTCTCTTTACTACCTTTTTTGAAAAAACTCTTTGTTACAAGGCTTAGATTTGGAAATAAAAGTGATGGAAAAACAAAAGCTATCCATTTTTTTTAATTGCCAAAGACCACATCATAGCTAGGGAGACTCAGAGTTCAGTTCAAACCTTGGTCTTTTAAGTCCAAGGCTCTAAACCTGTTTTCTCCTTCAGAAACTCAATCCAAATTGGTTGCATTTTGCCTTAATTTTATCAAATTAAACTTTAGGTTGGGGGCAGCTAAGTGGTGCAGTGGATAGAGCACCAGCCCTGAAGCCAGGAGGACCTGAGTTCAAATCCAGCCTCAGACCAAACACTTGACACTAGCTGTGTGACCCTGGGCAAGTCACTTAACCCCAATTGCTTAAAAATTAAAAAAAATTAAACTTTGGGACTGGAAGAGATCTTAGAGATCATTAAGTCTAACTGGTTCATTTTATAGACCGGAAAGCTGAGGTCATGAGATAGAAGATAACTTACCTTCGTAACAGAGTTGGTTCCTTTGACTCCAAATCCAGTGGTCTTTCTAATATACAACATCCCCTTTCCAAGATCACCTTTCTCCCAGTTTTCTATTCATTCATTCATTATCATTCAACTAAGCATTCTCTGCTGGCTTTCCTAATCCCTCTTAATTCTAGTGCCTTCCCTTTGATTCATTGTGTTTACAGCTTGTTTATTTGTACCTATTTGCATGTTGTTTCCCCCCTTAGATTATGAACTCCTTGAGAGCAGAGATTATTTTTTGCCTTTCTTTGTATTCCTAGCACTTAGTATAGTGCCTGACACACAGTAGACACTTAATACTTGTCGACTGACTGGCTGCTGGAAGATTCCAAAGAGTAAGGGGGTCTTTCAGTTTTGTAATTCCCTGTTCTTTGACCTGAAATAGTAAGATTCTGCCCCGGCTACATCTTCATGGCCTGATTCAGTTCCTCGGTCATCTGGATGACCTGCCCCTTCTTCCCACTCCAGCTTCTGTCCCAGACCTCATCCACGTGATCTCTCCAGAATGTGGAAAGATTGAGGGAGATGACCCGATAATGCGTTCCATGGGTTGGGAAGAAGGCATCAGGAATCCAGAGACTGAGGATGAGCTCTGGGATCCCTTGGTTTTTCTTAGGATTGTTAAAATTCCAGGGTAGGGCCATGGGTTTGGGGTGGGGTTGGAGAAGATGGCTGAGCCGGTAAGGTTGGGGAGGAAAGAGTATACTTACAATGCGCTCAAACTCCTTGGCTTGGTTGAGCTCCCTGGGGAATCCATCTATGAGAAAGCCTTTGCTTTCTGGTCGGGACAGCATGTTGTCACTCACCATGTCCAGAATCACACCCTACAGGGGCAGAGATTGGGCATTAGGAAGCTCCGGACCTGGTCTTGCACTAATTTGCTAAAGTGACTTTGGGGGAGTCACAAGCCTTTTCTGTGCCTTAATATCATGGGAACTACAGTGTTTGCAGCTGGGGAAACTGAAGCCTAGTCCCACAGCTAGCAAACTCCAAAGTCATAATTCAAACCCAAGGCATTTGACTACTCCACACCCAGCTTTTTCCACAGCTGCTTCAGTATCATCTGAAAAAATGAGGAAACTGGTTTTTCATCCCACCCAGTTACCCTGGCTTAAGGATATAGCCACTCAAATCTGTGAAATGGGAATAATCTCCCGTTCTCTTCCTACATGCCAAGTAAGGGCCCTTTGAGATGCCATGAGGATGAACATCTCCTGAGAGTTCCAAGACCCCAGCCAACCCCTCTGGGTTCTAGCAGTGGGCAAAAATCAGGGCCATGAAGGTAGCATTGTGGGAGAGCAGAATGAGTCGGTTGGGTCCTCACCGTGGGCACCAGAAGGCCCTTCAGCATGATGTCCCGGATTTGCTGGCCCCGCACAGTGGCCTGATTTGCCTCCTCCCTCAATAGCTCCCCAAGGCCCACGTGGCAGAAGCCGTACTTGGCTGCCATGTTCTCACATTGTGTCCCCTTGCCACAGCCTGGTCCTCCCATTACAAAGATGATCCGGAGGGATTTGAGCAGATCTGGCACGTGGGAAGGAAGGTGGTAAGTTGGCATGTGTATGCAGTCGGCACATGTATGTGCATGCTTTCTCTTGTGCTTGCATACAGGGGTGTGTGTGTGTGTGTGTGTGTGTGTGTGTATTTATGTGTGTGAGTGTGATCTTTTGTTACAGAATCACATGATACAGAGCTGGAAGGGGCTTAGAGATCATACGATCTAATCCCATTGCTTTACAGTTGAGGAAACTAAGGCCTAGACTGGGGAAAAGACTTTACCAAGGATTTGAATCCAGGCCTTCTGACTGCAAGTCTGGCACTGTTTCTACTCCCTCACATGTTTATGTTTGACTGCCCTGGTGTTTGAGCCAATATATACATCTGTTGGCATATGTTGGTGCCTGTTGGCAAGTAAGGAGAACTGCTAAAACAAGAGAAAAGAAGGCTCCAAACTATGTTTTCCCAACCTTTTCTCTCGTCCCCTACTTCTTCTCTCCCTCCCCCTCAAGAGAAGGGATTCCCTTTCTGTGTGGATCCTGGCCCCCTCAGCCTCTGCCACTGGAATGCCTGTAGGGTCCTGGCTCTGTGACTAGGTGGGGAGATGCTGGGCTCCCAGGGGGACTCCTAGAGATTTACCCTTCTGCTGAGGCCTCAGGGTTTTTCCCACCTGGGGCAGCCTGGAATGGCATCTGCCCATCTTCCCAGTAGCCCTGGGGGCTTAGTGACCCTGCCCACCAATTTCTCCCTCCTGGATCTTGTATTTCCAGACCCCCTTTGGCCTTAGCCCAGCCTTTCTCCCCCTCTTTACCCTCCCACCCCAGCTCCCTTAGCTTTCTGATGTCATAAGGAACTCCGGGGCCCCTACTATTGCCCTTCCCTTGGGTGGGGAGGGAAAGGAGGCATGTATGGGGCCAGGGAAAAGAGAGTAAGTAGCTTTGGACTATGGGAGTATACACAGATCTGGAGGAAGTTTTAGAGATAATTTAATCCAGGAGTTCTTAATCCTATCTGTGTCAAGGGCTCACTCCTTTGAGCAGTCTGGTAAAGCCTATGAAACTCTTTTCAGAAAATATTTTTAAATGCAAAAAATATATAAGTATATGTATATGCATATACATATATACACACATATGTATGTATATGGGCAGATGCCAATTCCAGGCTGTATGTATGTATATGACCAATTATATTGAAATAGCTAATTTTTTTTAAAGTTCATGAACCCTGGATTAAGAACTCCTAATGTAGTCTAACCTTCTTTTATTTTACAGATGGGGACACCGAGGTCCAGACAATCGAGTGCCTTGACCAAGTCCAAGAACACACAGCTTAGTGGGGAGTGGATTCTGGAGTCTAAGCCAGGTCTTTTGACTGCAAATCCAGTGGTCCTTCCACCATGCTTCTTCATCTAAAGTGTGTTCCCTTCTGGATTCAGTGCCCTACAAGAGAGAAAATGAATTTCCATGTTCTCCCATATGTAGGTTCATATAAGTCTCTGTGAAATCTGGGCTGTAGGTAGGGTTTGTTTTGGTTTGACTAGTAGAGTTTCAAAAATAATTAAAGGGGAATGGGAGGTTGAAGAATGGGAAGGATAAAATAGGGTCTAGGGCTGACTAGATATAGTAAAGTCTGACCAATCATAACAGCCTTCATCCAAGACAAGGGTTCCAGTTGTTCCATTTGCAGCTAGAACACTAGATAAAGTAAGCAACAAGAAAAAAAAAAAAACAGCTTGATGGTGGAATTTATGGTCTGCTCTGATAAGGAATAGGGATAGGAATGGAGTCTGGGTGTGTGATTTCATTGTTATAGGGAAATCATAAATGAGGAAACTCCCTCTACCAATGTCAGCCAGCATCTTCTCTGCAATAGTCCCAAAAAATTGCCTAGACCACCAAGAGGCTAAATAAACTGCCCTGGATCACATAGCAAGTCTGTGACAGAGGCAAGTCTTCCTGGTTCCAAAGCTGGTTCTCTATTCACTATACTACACTGGTTCTGAAATGATGAATTTTAAAAGGGTAAAAGTCAGATCTTATATGTCAGTTCAAAAAATCTTTACAAGTAGAGGGTGGGAGGCTACAAGACAATAGTTCATCTGGAGCCAGACATGGTGCCCCTAGGTCTTACTTTTTGGAAGGCTGAAGCGGGTGGATTGCTTGAGTTTGGAAGTTGGGAAGGGCAGTCAGTCAATAAACAACTGTTTAGTGCTGCAAGGCTAAAGCTATCAGGTGTCAGCTTTAAGTCCCAACCCAATATGGTGAGCGTCTCTAGAAGCAGAGGGGCTAACCAGGAAAAATGGAGCAGGTCAGAGTTTCTGTGATGATCAGCAACAGGACCAGGTCTCATTTGAGTGGAAATATAGTTCAGCCTATGGGCAAGATGGGGAGACAGCCTCCCCTCCTTGACCCTCCCATCCCCCCTCCAACAAACTCAACCCTTTGGTGGTTTTATTGGACTTCGATTTTAATATGAGTGAACAGTGTGATACGGCAGTCAAAAAACCTAATTCAACCTCAGGCTGCATAGAGAGATGTGCAGCTCCCCCAAACAAGGTGAATGTCCTGCTGTACCGAGCACATCTGGAATGCTGTTTGTGTTTGGATCTGGGTTCCACATTTTAGAAAGGGTATTGATGAGCTGGAGGTGATCCAGAGGGGAATCAGCGTGGTGGAGGGGCAGGTGAAGGAGAAGGGGATTTTTAACCAAGAGAAGAAAAGACTTGGGGGGGGGGGGGACTAGATACTTCTTCTCTAGTCATGTGAAGGATTAGACTCGTACTGTTTAGCCCCAAAGAGGATAAACAGGTGGCAGCATCAATGAGGCAAATTAAAGCTTGCTATACGGAAAACTTCCTGACAGAGCTATGCCAAAGTGGCGCGGGCTGCTTCCCTCTGGAAGCAGCAGCAACTTCCCCCACTGAAAGGTTTTAAGCTGTGGCTGGATAAGTACTTGTCACAGGTTGTGCCTCAAAGAGGGTTGGATCAGGCCCCCTAAGGTTCACACAAGCTCCGAAGAGGTGGATGCTACGGTTCCTGGAGGGGGGAAGGGAGTCTAGGCTGCAGTTGCCATGGCCTCGCAGTTGCCGTGACAACGAGGCCACGAGAACCACTGCAAGCCGTTAAAGACAGTGCGGTGCGTGAGCGCCTGCGCGAGGTCCTTCAGCATGCCCAGGCGACTCGAGAACTACGAATCCCAAGGTGCGCCGCGCGAGAAGGACTATCCTTCGAGTTCCCGTACACGGCTCTACAGGATGACGGCACAGGAAACACCTGGGTTGGTCCTGTCGGCGCAGGAAATTTGTACCTTCATGAATAATTAATAAAGGGCCACTGGCTCTCGCACCCTGCCCTTCCCCCCCCAACCGAGAACCCAGGGCGGAGAGATGGGAAAGAGGTCCATTCCATCTCCAGATCGCTTGCACCCAGGCTTGCTTCTGTCGTGGGAAAAGGCCTGGGCCTTCTGGAGACGCAAAGGTATTTGAACCGACCAGGAAGTGCGCAATCGCTCGCCGGGTAAGCCGGAATCGACGTACCCCGTAAGGCCGCTAATGGTTGTCAAGACGACGACGCGGGAAGTTTAATTTCCGGGTCAGGCCGCGGTGCCTGCTGGGATTCCAAGCTTGTAGTGGTAGTTCTTCCTTATTAGAGATAAGAGCCGAGCCAGCATCGAAATAGTTTCGGGGCTCAGTGGGGAGATCAGGGCCCGGCCTGTGCGACGATTCTCGACCCTCCCCGCGGCCACGCTGCGTGCCCAGCTTTGGACAACATGACGACCCTAGTGAGTGGGAACAGCGTGGGCGGCCCCCGCGATGTGTGGGTGTGTGCATGCAAGAGTGTGTGTGACCCTGGTGAGTCGTGGGAGCGGCTTCGGAGCGCCCCCATCCCCGTCTATGCGCGTGCAAGTTTGTGAGGACGTGTGTGTGACCCAGGGGAGTGGGAGCGGCTTGGTTCCCCTCCACCACCACACCCGCCCCCCACTGCTGCCTGTGTCTTTGCGTGCACGAGTGGGTGGGTGTGTTCATTCCTGTGCATGTATCAGTTAGCAAGCATTTCTGAGGCGCCCACTATGTCTTGGACACGGAGCTGAGCCCTGGAAATACAAAGCATGGGATAAATAGTCTCCGTCCTCAAGAAACTCACATTCTTATTTTTTCTTTTAACTTGAATGTAATATTTATTTGGTGAGTTTACATGTGAGGTCATTTACAAAAGAAAAGTTACAGAGAGATGTAGCTTTGAGTGCAGTTTCAAATATTTTAAGAACAGGCCACAGTCCGTGAAGATTTGGAATGATAATATTGAACAGCACGTGCGTCATTTTCTTTTGTGTGGTTTTTTTCCACACCTCCCCAGGGAGAGGAAGGGAGAAGAAAATGTCAGTGTCAATGAAAATGCGGCCATGCAAATAAAAACCCTTTTAGAGAATCAGAGGAATTTTAAGTTGGGGTTAAGTAACCCTCCTGAAGTCACCAGTGGTTGTCCTGGAAGGTGCATAATTTAAAGACTAAAAATGGAGAGCCTTTAGATCTGAACTGTCACTATCCTGGTTGTCAAAAAAATTTCACTTCCCAGTTAGCTAACTTTAGACCTATGATCTCCTCCTAAAGCCAGGAGGAACTCACATTCTTCTGAGGGAGATACCGTGCAGAGAACTTTGCACAGTTCTGTATTGTAAGCCATCTGCACAGATGGCTCCATTGGTTTGTCTGCAGCTCTGTGCCCATGAGTAAGTCTTCATGAGAGTGTGTGCCAGAGGCCATGGGTGTGTGCCAGCCCTTATGTTTCTACTAGTGTCTGTGCCTTTGCCCATGTGCACTTCTGTTTTTGACCATGGACCTTGTATTTTAAAGTGTTTGTCATACTTGTTAACCAATGCTCTATGACTCTGTGTTTCTCTCTTTTTCTCTCCAGGGGACCAGCAGCCAGACTGTGACTGAATATGTTGTTCGAGTCCCCAAGTGAGTTCTTTGGGGATGGGATGGGGTGGTGTGGTGTGGTGTGGTGTGGTGTGGTGTGGTGTGGTGTGGTGTGGTGGGATGTGGAGGAGTGCTCAAAGCCCAGGTACAGCTTCCTTCCTACTTATAACTTTCCTACTGACTGTTCTATTCCTGCAGGAACAATCTCAAGAGGTACAATATCATGGCTTTCAATGCAGCTGACAAAGTCAACTTCTCCACCTGGCACCAGGTAAAATTCTGGAATCCTGGCATAGCCTAGGAGCCTTAAGAAAAAGGTAAAGGAAACTGAGTATGGATCAAAGAGTGGGGGTTGGTACCCTCCAGGCTCAGAGATGAGGGCATCTTACTGCCACTCCCTCAAGTATATATTAGATACTTATTTTTGCTCAGCTTGTCATTGTGTCTTATGGGACACAAGAGAAACATAAGAGGAAGATCTCTTTTTAATACCAAACAATGTAACTAAGTAAATATTACATTAGAAAGCTGAGACAGGACTGTAGATCATAGAGGTAATTGTTCAGTAAAGGCTTCTTAAAGAAGGCAGGGCTTGAGCAGAGCTTTGGACAATGGAGGTGACTAGCATGAGGCCAGACAAGCCAGCTCATCTGGGGTCTGCGGCAGGTGAGGCAAGGTGTCCCCCCAACCATCCTTGCCAGGGGCTCTGGGATGAGGTTGCTTCCTACACGCCAGGCCAAGATGGAACGCGATCTGAGCAACAAGAAGATCTATCAGGAAGAGGAGATGCCAGAGTCTGGGGCCGGCAGCGAGTTTAATCGAAAGCTCAGGGATGAGGCCAGGAGGAAGAAGTATGGCATCATTCTCAAGGCCTTCAAGGCCGAGGACCAGCCCTGGCTACTCAAAGTCAATGGCAAAACAGGCAGGAGGTGAGTGATCCTTTTGGAGGCCCCCAGTTTAGGCTCCTCAGGGCTGACTTCTGCCCTTCGTGGGAGGGAAAGCAGGGCAGGGGGCATTCTTCATCCTTTGGTGGATGAAAAATACAAGACCAGAAAAGGTCTCAGGGAGCTGTTGGTCTGCCTGAGGGCTAGGACCCAAGGCTCTTGGCCCCCATCCTGGGCCACTTTCCTAAATCTGTCAGTGCCTTGAGATTGAGATTTCTGTCCCTGTCCCTGTTGAACTGCAGCCAGGCCTTCTGAGGGGAGCAGGCCCTGGATGAGTGGCTAGGGCCCCTTTCCTCCTGCCTGCTGCAGGTTCAAGGGAGTAAAGAAGGGTGGTGTGACAGAAAACACCTCCTACTACATCTTTACCCAGTGCCCCGATGGGGCCTTCGAAGCCTTCCCTGTGCACAACTGGTACAACTTCACTCCTGTGGCCCGGCACCGGACACTCACTGCAGAGGAGGCTGAGGAAGAATGGGAAAGGTGAGCAGGAGGGAGGAAGGGGGTAGCAGTCATTCATTCTGTCAGAGAGCGCATCTGAAATACTTCTTCTGGACCTGGCACTGTACTAAGGGTTTGGGATGCAAAGAAAGGCCAAGGCAGCCCCTGCCCTCAGAGGCGTATACATTCCCATGGAGGAGACAGCGTGTAAATCACTGGGTACACAGCATAGATGAAGGACAGCTCCAGGTCTCCAGCTGTCCTGCCCTTCTCAGCCTTTGCCTAATGCTAGTTGTGTGCCTCTCTAGTGCACTTACCACGTCACGGCATGAGTTCTTGTGATCCCTTTATATGTCGTCTACCTCCTAGTGACACAGAACCACCTCCCTACACCTTCTGGGCCTTGGTCCATTTATCTTTTGTGTTCAACAAAGACAATGGAGGCCTGAGAGTTTGCCCTCAGTCATAGAGCTAGTAATTGGAAAAATCATCTTATTGCCTTTGAGATCTTGGATAAGTCCCTTACCCTCATTTCTTTCAGTTTCCTTAGCGGTTCAGTGAGGGCGTTGGCGTGGGTGGCTTCTGAGTTTGCTTCCACCTCTAGATCTGTGGTCAGTATCACAAGCAGAATCCTACCTAGCTCTCCTAAGTCCATATGAAGGGCTCTTGCCACTGCTTCACGGCTGTGGGAGACGCACACACACCCCAGTGCAAACAAAGGAGCCGTAAGCCCTGAAGGGAAGGGAGAGAGATCTGAGTTGGGCATGGTCAGTCTGGGAAGGCTTCCTGTCCACCCTGGAGACCCTCCGTGATCCGTACCCCTTTTTGTAGGAGGAACAAAGTGTTGAACCACTTCAGCATCATGCAGCAGCGTCGGCTGAAGGACCAGGACCACGATGAGGAGGAGGAGGAGCACAAAGAGAAGAAGAGCCGGAAGAAGGCCAGTGAGCTCCGGATCCATGACCTGGAGGATGACTTGGAGATGAGCTCTGATGACAGCAGTGGCAGTGGAGAGGAGGGTGAGGACGGGGCCGGGGGTGGGCGGTGTGTACGCAGGGCAAACGCCCCCAGAGGATCAGTGACCAGCACAGGGTAGGCCCTGACCTCATCTGCCCTCCCCAGGGGAGAAGGTCCCCAGGACCAAGAAGAAGGCAGCGCCCTCCAGAGGGGGCAAGAAGAAGAAGAAGAAGGGCTCTGATGATGAGGCCTTTGAGGACAGTGATGATGGGGACTTTGAGGGCCAGGAGGTGGACTACATGTCAGATGGCTCCAGGTGAGAGAGACAGGCCACCCCACTTCGTCCTTTCAGACCTGGAGGCCAGGTCTGCTCGCCTGCCACAACCTGCTCACCTGTAGCCTGTTCTTTCCCTCACAGCAGCTCTGAGGAGGAGGCAGTGGGGAAACCCAAGGTGGTCAAGCAGGAGGAGGATGGCCCTAAAGGTAGGTGTGGCCTGGGAGCAGGACCCTTCTCTCACTTTGTCTCCCCTTGTGAAGAGCAGGGCCCTGGTCACAGTCCAGTTTGGTTCAGCCAGTGTTGCTTAAGTGCCATCCGCTGAGGAGCCTTGTGTTTGAGAGAAGGAAGCCCTGTCATCAAGGGGCTTACGTTCTACTTGGGGGAGAAAGCATGTAGCCAGAGAGGTGCAAAGGAGATTCAGAATCACTTTAGGGGGCAGCTAGGTGGCACAGTGGATAGAGCACCGGCCCTGAAGTCAGGAGGACCTGAGTTCAAATCTGGCCTCAGACCAAACACTTGACACTTACTAGCTTTGTGATCCTGGGCAAGTCACTTAACCCCAGCTGCCTAAGCAAAAAAAAAAAAATCACTTTAGGAAGGGGGAAGCAGGGGGATAGGCTGGGAGTGGAAGTGCTGACAGTGGTGATCAGAAAAGGTCTCCAGTGGGAAGGGTTGCTTCAGTAGAGTATTGAACAGAGCTGGGCACGCCAGAAGGGAAAGGTCAAGAAGAGGAGGGCTCCTGGCCTGGGGGACAACCTGTGGAGAGGCTCAGTTGTTGTGTATAAAGAACAAGAGCTTTTGAAGGCTATCATGTGAAGTACATGTGGAAATGTAGGTAGGGACCAGATTGGAAATGGCTTTAAAGGCCAACAGGAGCCCATATTTCAGCCTAGAAACAGGAGAAAACTCCTGAAGCTTGTTGAGTCTGGGAAGTGACATAGTTCTCTATAAATCCTATGATTTAGGGATAGTAATTTGGCAACTCTCTGGAGGGTGGCAAGGAGAGAGGAGAGATGGGAGGCAAGGAGACCAATAAGGAGGCTGTTGCAGTGGTCCAGGTGAGATGAGAATCTGAATTAGCAATGGAGAGGAGAATGACATGAGAAATAGAGTGGTAGATAAGACAAGACTTGACAACTGAGTGGATGTGAGTGGTGAGGGAGAGGAGAGAGTGGAATGTGCCTTGAAGCTTGTACATCTGGGAGCACTTGAACTCTTAAAAAGAACTTGGGAAAATTTAAAAAAAATGGAGAAGTGGGTTTGGGGGGATGTGATGTGGGGGATGTGTACTTTAGTCATGTTGAGGAAATAGAAAAAGCAATGATGTTTACCAGTTAAGAGATCACTGGTAACCTGGATGAAAGTGGTTGCAAGATTGAGTCAGTTTGGCTTCCCAAAGTCAGACCCCTGCCAGCGGTTGAGAAGGGAATGGCGGGTGAGGAAGTGGAGCCAATGAGTGCGACAGACTTTCTCTGTGAGGAAGGCTGGGAAAGGAAGGCGAGAGATACCGGCCTGAAGCTGGAGAGGATGGTCAAGTCCAGTGAAGTTGCTTTAGGATTGGGGTAGGTGGGGGTGTGTTGGTAGGCAGCAGGGAAGGAGAGCCAGTGGCTGAGAAGAGAGAGGCTAGGGTCAGGTCAGGAGGGCCTGGGGTCACTGGCGCAGTGGAGAGCTCTTGCGTCCCTCCCAGGCATCGATGAAGAAAGTGAAAGCAGTGAAGAGAGTGAGGAGGAAAAACCCCCAGAGGAGGAGGAGAAGGAGGAGGAAGAGAAGAAGGCACCTACCCCCCAGGAAAAGAAGAGGAGGAAAGGTGAGTGTGACGAGGGAGAAGGAACTTGCCTGGCACTGGGGACCTTCCTCAGTGTGGCCCAAGCTGCCTCTCCCTCTCCACCTTTGTTTCCTCCTTTCCTCTATGCCCTCTGTGGGTCAAGGGAGTGCCTCACCTTCCCTTCAGGCACCCTGCACTCATTGCTGCCCTTGTGCTTTTAGTCATAGCGCAGCCTCTCCACTCTCCCCTGAGCTGCTCCCAGGCTTTCTTTGGAGGCCACCTGAGCCCCTCTGCCTCACTAGCAGCTCCTCCTTGAGAAGCCCCACTCCCAGGCATCTCTGCCTCCAGCTTTATCTGGCTGGGGGGAGCAGTGGCAACGAGCTCAGTGCCACACACTTACTGAGGCTAATTCTTGGGAACGTTGAAGACAACTGTTGATTCTTTACATGTCAGAGTCTGGTGTCTGTCACTAGACTAGCTGCCTGAGGGCAGAGCCCAGGAGAGGTGGGCCTTTGGCACGGGCAGTGTTTGTTGGGGACTGAGGGAAGAGGGAGCTGGGGGTGGGGAGGGCAAAGGGCCCCAGGGCACAGTGCTCGGGCTCCTGTTTGACCCCTCAGGAGACAGCAGTGAGGAGTCAGACACCTCTGAGGAGAGTGACATTGACAACGAGGCATCCTCGGCCCTCTTCATGACAGTGAGTATGGCCCAGTGGGACACAAGTGAGGGGACTTCCTCCACCCCCAGCCCACGCAAAGGCTGGCTTGTGTTTGTCTTCTCCCTTGGTTCAGTCTGCCCTTCCCCATCCCATCTCTGCAGAAGAAGAAGACGCCCCCCAAGAGGGAAAGGAAGGCCTCAGGCAGCAGCTCCAGGGGAGACAGCCGCCCAAGCACGCCCAGCGTGGACAGTGGCAGCACGTCCTCCACCCTCCGGGCAGCTGCCAACAAGCTGGAGCAAGGTGAGATGGGGTCCAGGCCTCATCCCCTCTCCTCACAGGCCCGTGTCCCCGGCTGGGGCTGGTTCTGCCCCCGTTTGTGTCTTCTGATAGGCACGGTAGGCTTCTCGATGCCTGCAACTTCACCTTTTCAGACCACTTTCCCAGCTTTTCTCTTAGAGCAGGTTCTGTTATCCCCATGTGAGGGCAGAGGCTGAGGCCCAGAGAGAGCAAGGGACAGGCCAGACTTACCCAGGGAATGGGTGGCAGGGCCCAGACTAGACACAGCTGGTCTAGGAATCTTCCTTCTCCTGGGGCCACCTGCTCGCTAACAAAGCTCACCTGGTTCTGTGCTACTGTGGGAGGTGCAGGACATGTGCCCAGACCTGGCAAGGGGACATCCCACTGTACTCTGACACCACAATATTGTGTTCAGTTCTGGGGCCACGTTTTGTGGAGCACTGAAGGGTTAATGTATAAGATCTTCCCTATCCACAGCCTAAGCCAAGGGACAAGGAACTTCCCTCACGTATTGTTCTGGGATTTGTTCCATGCCAAACCCACCTTGGGGAACTATTCCTTAAAAGCAGGTCTTGAGGTAAACATCCAGGGACTTGGCCAGTTCCTGGGTATTGACCCGAGACATTTTTGACATAATAAAGATTGTCCTTGAGGTTGGAGAGTTTTGGCCAGAACTCTCAGGACCTTAAGATCAATCACCTGTTCCTTGGCTCTCTGCCTTCTTTGTGTAAGGATGATAAAAAAGGGTCTGTCTTGGGAAAGGGGCTTTGGGAGTCTCCCCTCAGAGAGGAGGCTCTGGCCATAGGGACTTTCCCAACTGAGACCCTGACGGCTGTGATACAGGACTCCCCCAGCCAGATGTTCAGGAGTTGGTGCTTCCTCAGATTGGTGATGTATTTCTTCTTCTTTATCTCTCTATCTTTCTGTTAACAGTCTTTGTTTCTAAGATTGTATAATCATATGTAATCACATTTATGTGCATGTATGTTTATGATAATTGTGTGGGACAGTGGCCACACTAGAATTAAAAGTTCGGAGGCTGAGTCAGAGATCAGAAAAGGTTTTATGCTTTCTCATGAGAAAGGGCACAGCCCTCGTCGCTTGACCAGTGACAACCAGGGAGTGCAAAGTCTGTTAGTGGGGAACAAAGTTTTATAGTCTTAAAGGGATATCCCCTCCCCATTCCTGAACCCTTCTTCCCATTGGCTGGGTTTCAGGGTGCACGATCTAAATGCCACTTTCTCGGAACCTTAGTGCAATATCCTTATTTGGAAATATTTGCCTGGAGGCAAAGGATTGGGAAGACTTTTGATAACCATTTAGAAGTTCTGCGGAGAGCCAAAGGCCGGGGAAGACTTTCAATAATGGAGTCCCGCCTGGAGACAGATAAGCAGGAAGCCCCTGGTGGTTAAGCTAGCAGTCTTTAGAAATTTTTACCTTACTAGAGGAATTGGAGTACAGGTTACTTCTTGCAAGTTTTACTGCCTTAGGGGCACAAAGGGGATTTATGAGGTTTTTTTGTTTTGTTTTGTTTTGTGTTTAATGAGGCAATTGGGGTTAAGTGACTTGCCTAGGGTCACACAGCTAGTTAAGTGTCAAGTGTCTAAGGCCAGATTTGAACTCAGGTTCCTCTGACTCCAAGGCTGGAGCTCTATGTACTGTGCCACCTAGCTGCCCCGATTTGTGAGTTTTAGTACTGAGGAAACTTCATCTATCTCACACATTATTATCATTATTAAATCATTTCTAATCTAGGAAAAGTGTGAATGTGTCTTTGTGGGTACAGATCCGAACCTGTGAAACAAATTATAAGTGCTGTGCAGCCTGTAACACCTTACTCTTACAAATTGGCATCAGGAACAGGATCTGTGTCACAATGCCATTGCTAAAAAAATCAGAAGTTAAAGTTAAAGAATAGGAAATCCCTGGCTGGGAAGGACTCCCATATTCCTCCCTTGCTAAAGAGTGGGCTAAGAATACTGGCCCTTGTGAGGATTGGGGGAGCCGTCTCAAACAAACTGAACCATTGAATGTCATTAGATGTTTAGAGGATATCCCAGTAGAAAAAGGGAAAGAGATAGGGGGAATAAGTAGAAGAGGATGGGCTTTGTTAACTGCATCCCCAGTTCTGGACACTATACCCTAGCCTTCAGCATTTGAAAGGGGATTAGGATAAAGGCAAAATTCCAGCACAAATTAGGGAAGTAAAACATAGAGATTATAGGCCCCATATAAAAAGGTTCTACAACTGTGGCAAAAGCTCTAAATGACCCTGGAGAGGAGGCCTCCCTAATTTATGGGAACCCTGATAAATTTAAACAAGGAAGACCCATGATAATTACAGGATTAGGAGGAAAAGAGATACAAGAGAACAAGTTACTATACCCATTAAAATAGGACAATTACCTTGTCGAGATTATACTGTAGTAGTAGTACTCATTCCTGAATATATAATTGGAATAGACATTTTAAGAGGAATGACTTTGCAGCTACTGGATGGATGATATCAATTTGCTGTTAGTGCTCTAACCATAAGGGCAGTGTTAGTAAATGCCGCCTGTGTCTTTACCACCACCCGCTAAGACCATTACCCTAAAGCAGAACCGTATACCCAGAGGGCAGGAGGAAATCACTGCTACTGTTAAGGAATGTGTTGATGTAGGAGTACCGATCCCTACTACTACTGAATGGCATAACCCTGTATGGCCAGTTTAAAAAAAAAAAAATCTGATGGGAAGTGGAGAATGACTGTTGATTATAGGCAGTTGAATAAAGCTACTCCTCCTTTGTTTCCAGCAGTACCTGACACCATTACTTTGATTGAACGTATTCAAAAATATTCAGGACATTGGTATGCAGTGATAGACTTGACTAATGCCTTCTTTACTATACCAATAGATCCAGCTCAGTGGGATCAGTTTGCTTTTATTTGGCTAGGGAGACAGTATACATTTACCTGCCTACCACAGGGATATTTACATAGCCCCGCTATTTGCCATGGGATAGTGGTGGTACATCTAGATGAGTTGAAAATGAAAGGAGTGCAGATAACTTATTATATTGATGACATCTTAATACAAGGTGAAGTTTGTCAAACGGTGGAGGAAAATTTGCATATTTTATTAGAACATATTCGGGACCTGCACACGCAGTAAAATTCTTAGGGATTTACTGGAATAAGGGGCACAGAGAAGTAGATTTTCTTCCCTCTACTAATAAAACTGAGGCCCAGAAATTCATAGGACTTTTTGGATATTGGAGAACACATATTCCCCATTTAGGACAAATATTGCGCCCACTTTATAAGGTGACTAGGAAGAAATATGAATTCATTTGGGGCAAGGAGGAAAAAAAGGTGTTCGAAGAAGCCAAAGCTGCAATCCAAACCATGTTAGATTTATGGCCTATGGAAAATGGCCAAAAAAAAAAAAAAAGAAGAAGAAGAAAACGGCCCTGTAGAATTACAAGTATCTGTCCAAGAGGGATATGCTGACTGGAGCCTATGGCAAAAACAACAGGGCAGGAATGTTCCCTTAGGATTTTCAAGAAAGCTGCCCTCTGCTGGGGAAAATTATTCCCCTTTGGAACAACAACTTTTAGCTGCATATTGGGCATTGGTAGAGACAGAACAATTGGCAATTGGTCATGAAGTAGTCTTATGACCCAAAATTCCTATAATGCATTGGATAATGAGCATCCCTGTCTCTCATAAAATAGGGTATGTCCAAGAAGCTAGTATTATTAAGCGGAAATGGTATATTCAGAATAGATTAAAAAGTGGGAAGGCAGGAATTTCTACATTACATGAAAAAGTTTCAGAATTGGGAATGACACAAAATGAGATACCACCGGCAAAAGCCACCAGGAATTCACTAGTAGAATGGGGACAGGGATATGACAGGAAAAAGACATGCATGGTTCACTGATGAATCGGCTAAATATAGAGGACAAGTAAGACATGGAAAGTGGTGGCATGCAACCCCACTACAGGAGTTACTCTGGAAAACACAGGACAAGGGGGAAGTAGCCAATTAGCTGAGCTAATAGCTGTGCATTCAGCTATTAAGAATGAACAAGGGAAAGAATGCTATGTATTTACAAATTCCTAGGCTGTGGCTAATGCATTAACTACTTGGATGCCATATGGAATGAAAATGGTTGACAAATTCATGGGCAGGATATATGAGGAAAAGAATTGTGGCAGGATATATGGAATTGGTCTTATAATTCTAACGTTTCAGTTTTTCACGTAGATGCATATACTTCGACGAACACCCTGGAACGTGAGTATAATGTACATGGGGATCAACTAGCCAAAATAGCAACAATACAGCAAGAAGATCAGGAATATTATTCATTAGCACAATGGGCACATCAACAAGCGGGACACCTTGGAGTCCAAGCCTTACAAAGGTGGGCCTTGGACAGGGGAATTTCCCTCCCAATATCACTATTAAAACAAATACAATCTGAGTGTTCCATATGCCAAATGGAAAAGGAGAGACCAATTCCCCACACTGTCAAAGGTAAACTAGCCCGAGGAAGGCTGCCTGCCCAAATTTGGCAAATAGATTATGTTGGTCCCTTACCAATGGACAGAGGTTGCCGATATATTTGTACCTGTGTAGATCCTTATTCTGCAGTATTGGTAGCATGCCCATATAAGAATGCCACTCAGAAAAAATACTTGTAGGACTATAGATATCATTACTTTATATTATGAATCCCCTCTACAAATACAAAGTGACAATGGAACACACGTTAAGGGAAAAGAAATAGACCACTATTGTTCATATCATAATATAGAATAGATTTATCATATACCTTATTATCCCCAATTGTTCCCAATCCATGGATAGGTCAGATCTAGAGGCCAACTGAAGGGTTAATGTGTAAGATCTTCCCTATCCACAGCTTAAGCCAAGGGACAAGGAACTTGCCTCACATATTGTTCTGGGATTTGTTCCATGCCAAACCCACCTTGGGGAACTATTCCTTAAAAGCAGGTCTTGAGGTGAACATCCAGGGACTTGGCCAGTTCCTGGGTATTGACCGGAGACATTTTTGACATAATAAAGATTGTCCTTGAGGTCGGAGAGTTTTGGCCAAAACTCTCAGGACCTTAAGATCAATCACCTGTTCCTTGGCTCTCTGCCTTCTTTGTGTAAGGATGATAAAAAAGGGTCTCTCTTGGGAAGGGGGCTTTGGGAGTCTCCCCTCAGAGAGGAGGCTCTGGCCATAGGGACTTTCCCAACTGAGACCCTGACGGCTGTGATACAGGACTCCCCCAGCCAGATGTTCAGGAGTTGGTGCTTCCTTGGATTGGTGATGTATTTCTTATTCTTTATCTCTCTCTCTTTCTGTTAACAGTCTTTGTTTCTAAGATTGTATAATCATATGTAATCACATTTATGTGCATGTATGTTTATGATTATTATTATTAAATCATTTATAATCTAGGAAAAGTGTGAACATGTTTTTGTGGGTACAGATCCGAACCTGTGAAACAAATTGTAAGTGCTGTGCAGCCTGCAACACCTTACTGTTACAAGCACGTTGACATTGTGGGAGAACGCACCCAGAGGAAGATGACCAGCATGGTGTAGGTCGTGGAAACAAGGCCCTACAGGAATCAGTTATAAGGAATCAGATGAGGACACTGAGGCCCAGAGAGGGTCTGTAGTGGAAGGGCTAGCATTGCCATCTTGATGCTCTTATTCCCAATGAGTCTTTGGAGAGGGACCAGAAGACCACTCAGGAGGAGGACTGAAGAGGGGATTTCTGTTCAGGTGTAGACAAGCCTGATCTTTGACATTGTGGTTTGCATGGTTTCCTGCAGGGAAGCGCCAGACGGCACCCAGTGATACACCTGCCGCCAAGCGCCTGAGATTAGATGCTGGGCCCCAGAGCATCTCGGGGAAATCCACCCCCCAGCCCCAGTCTGGCAAATCCACACCCAGCAGTGGGTGAGTCAGGAGTGGTTTCTGGGGGTCTGGGGGCCGGGGTGGGCACAAGAACCTCAGCCCCCTGACGCCACTGTTTCTCCCCACAGTGACGTGCAGGTGACAGAGGATGCAGTGAGACGCTACCTGACCAGAAAGCCCATGACCACCAAAGACCTGCTGAAGAAGTTCCAGACCAAGAAGACGGGGCTGAGCAGTGACCAGACGGTCAATGTGCTGGCCCAGATCTTGAAGCGCCTCAACCCCGAGCGCAAGATGATCAATGACAAGATGCACTTCTCCCTCAAGGAGTGAGGCCCAGGCCCAGTGTGGGCCACAGGGCTCAGCCCGGACACAGGAGATGCCCAGACCTGTCCCCCACCCCCTGGGGGGGAATAAAAGCTGCTTGGGATTTTTCTCTCTGGCCCTGTGTGACTTCTTGGGGTGGGGAGACCAGGGCTCACAGGGTTATGGATTTGGAGCCAGAGTGGCCTGAGAACCATCTCCCCGACTCTACAGATGGGGAAACTGAGCTCCACAGAGGGAACGGGCCTGGCCTAGTGTCAACACAGGCAGTGAATGGAGCTCAGACCTTGGGACTTGTCAATCCAGTGTTCCCCTTCCCCATTCCCACAGGGATAGCCTTCCATCAGGGGAATTAGTCCTGAGTCCAGGTGTGGAAACTTCCCCTCTCTACACTGCACTTGGCTGCTGCTGGGAATATCTGGGATGTCAGGCTAATTCTGGGGAAATGCCTGGCATTCCCAGGAGCGGCCTCTCCTGTCCCCCATCTCCTCACCCACACCTTATATGGGAAGGTCCAAGTGGGCTCTTCTGAACCCCCGGCTCACCTCATCCCCCCACCCCCTCCTTCACACAGGCCATGCTTTCAGGGACCGGGCTTGGACAGCTTGGTTCTCTTCCTAGTGACAGGGACCCTGAAGGGCTGGAGGGGACCCCAGCCTCACTCTGCCTTACCCCTCAGACAGTTGTGGAAGAGCACCAAGTTCCCTGGTCCCATCGATGGCTCAATGATGAAGGGATAATATGGGATCTGATGGGTGTTTCCTGTTTTGATGTTGGAGCAGCCAGGCCCGGAGACAGGGGCATGATGCCTTAATCCCCTGTATCCTAGAAAGGTTTGAGGAGGGATTTCCCACCATCTGTTGAACATGTGGCTGTCCTCACCATGCTCCCATCATTGATTATTCTGCCTTTCCCTCCAGCTCAGCTTGAGAAAAGAGGTGTGTCAACACTGTCCATTCTGGCCATCCTGATTTGGGGAAAGCCTCCTTCCCCTAAATTTTAGGCAATGAGATATGGTCACCTCCAGCCCAAGGTAGAGATGCTGCTACTCTTCCTCATGACAAGTCTCATAAATTAAGGGATAGTGGAAAAAGAGCTTTGGAATGCTGGGGGAGGGAGCAGCCTGACTTAGATGTTGGGGGATAGTGGTGGGAGCAACTTTCTCCCTGAAGAGTCCACACGTGAAGCTTGTACTCTTTCTTCCCTAACCACTACTGATGGCCCAAAGCGGATAGGACAAGTGCTGTGAAGTAACTGGTAGTGACGCTGGGTTAACATTCAGGTCTTCTGGCTCTGGTGTGACAAGGGTTAATGTTCTGGGCCACCCACCCAGCTATGACCAGCTCCTCCTGCTGGGGGTGGGGGAGATATAGTGGAGTGCATGGAACCCTTGAGTCTCTAGCTCTCCTACAATCCACAGCTCAGCATGGCCCGGGCACTGATTCTCCTCACTCTCTTGCTGCTCCTGCCTCCCAGCCTTGGGGAATTGCCTTCTGTCTCCAGACCTCCAGGCTCACCTCTGGAAGAGGAGCCCACATCTGGGGAATTGAGGCTGGTTCCTGGAGCTTCAGATGCATACCTCAGACCTGGAAAGCTGCCTTCAACCTATGGGACCAAGAAGTCATGGCTAGGTAAAGGATTCCCCAGTAGGGCAGGCAAGGGGGCTATTGGTGTGTTCTCTAAGTAGACAGAATGATATGACATCTCAGTTCTCCAGAACAGGTCTCCTATTAACCTTTTACTTGCAACTACCCTCTAACTCAGGCCTTGCTCTTCTTGTTTCTTCTAGAGGACCACTTATTACCATCTGCTTCAGAAGCCCGGGTATCCAGGGCACCACCTGAATGTCAGTTGCAGAGCCTGATACTGTCAGTGACCGAGCTAGGTCTTGGCTACAATTCTGATGAGACCATTGCCTTCCGCTACTGTGCTGGCAGCTGCCGCAGTCCCCGTACCCACTATGGCCTGACATTGGCCAACCTTTCAGGTAAGGGCCAAGTGAAGACCCAAATCTGCTGCCATCCCACCCAATATGAAGATGTGGTCTTCCTGGACAACAAACAGCAATGGCATCATCTGCCCCAGCTCTCCGCTGCTGCCTGTAGCTGTGGCATCTGAAAGGCCTGCTAACCCAGTCCACAAAGCCCACCAATCCCTTCACCAAGCTGTGCAGCAGTGCTGAGACCCACCCTACCTCTCACCCAGCACTGCCCTCCTTTCTCTTCTCTGAGGTTGAATGTAAAATGCATTCCTCCTCTGGCTCCTTTGTGCCAGGGCCCAATGTGTCCACTTTATCAGCATCCTGCAGCCTCACACCTGGCCTGCCCATGGACATGTGGGAATACACAGTTATTGACTTGGTAACTGAGGGGAAGTTAAGTCCATTCTCCAGAGTGGGTGTGATGGAAAACTACGGGGACTTTGTGGAAGAGGGACATTGTTAATAAAAAGGCTATGACTGCTATGCACTAGCTGTGTGCTAGGCTCAGCTCTTCTTTTCCTTAGGACTGACTGCAATAGCCCTTTATCCACTCAGTTGGGAGGGCATTCCCTTCTCTCTTGTCCAACATCATCCAGACCCAGGGGCCAAATACCATTTCTCTAATTTTATTCATAAATACTTTATATAAAACTTTGGGCACAAGCCATTGGACTCCCTGAGAGGGCCTGTGACTGTAGAACTTGAGGTCATCTAGATGAAGGGCCTGGTTCCCCCTCAGGGAAAGAACGGCAAATAACAGAAATTCGTCGGCCCCGTGGGACCCGGTGCTCCCCAAAGAATGACTCTTCATCACGAAGGATCTGGTGGGAGAAGTCATATCGGGCAGGGCCCCTGGTGTAGAGAGCAAGAAAGGCTTGGGTCAGTAGCTGAGAGGCAGGCTTGCTGCCCACCATGGTGCTCTTTCAATGCTGCTTGGGAGTGGTAGTAAGCATTATAATTCCACTGACTAGGACTGACAAGGGCAAGGGATGAAGTCAATCACAAAGAGAACCCAAAGAGTCTAAGATACAGCCCCAGACCCCATTTCTAGAAGCTCTGCCCCTCTGGCCCTAAGGTCCTCCTACCTGAGGATATAGAGGGACCCAGGTTCCAGTAGCAACTCCAGCCATTCTTGAGGATCTTGAGTGTCAATTAGTCGCATGACACTGGGGGAGAGCAAGGAGAGGCCTGCAATGATGCCGCCACAGAACTGGCCAGAGAATTAGAACCACAAGATGTCAGAACTGAGAGAGGTGGAAATCTAGAGATCATCCCATTTCAGTCCTGGAAGACTGAGGCCCAAGACAAAGCTGGTGGATAAAGAGAGCTGGGCTTGGACTCAGGAAGACCTGAGTTTAAATCTGGTCTCAGACACTTAGTAGCTGTGTGACCCTGGGCAAGTTACTTAATCTCTGCCTCAGTTTCCTTAACTTTAATGTGGGAATAATAATAGCACCTACTTCACAGAGTTGTTGTGAGGATTAAAGAAGAGAATATTTGTAAAACACTCAGCACAGTGCCTGGCACACAGTAGTTGCTTAATAAACGTTTGCTTCCTTCTCTCCTTCCAAGAAAGGGAAATGGGTTCCTCAAAAGTCACACAAATAAGGGGAAGGGCAAGGAGGGACCTGGATCTCCTGGCTTTTTCTACCATACCAGAGAAAGGCAGCCATCATACAGGACAGGCCTCTCCTGTTACTGTGGAAGCCTCCATTCCCCTTCCTCAGCCCACAGGCCGGGTGCTCTGCCCACCTTGATGCTATCCACATGGGGCTTGATGTAGCCATTTTGGTGGAGATCTAGGACGTGAACCATTGGAAGCTGGGCCAGAGCTGGGGGGAAGGCAGCCACCCGAACCCGCTGCAGAATGGCCTGGCTTGCCTCTGACCAGTGGGACTTCTCTGTCTCTCGGAAGCCGTGGATAGCCTACAGAGATGAAGAAACAGTGGTTAGCTCTCCGAGTTCAGGGAAGCCTGGAAGCTACTCTGACGTCAATGGACCTAGGAAGGAGTTGAGAAAACGAGTGAGAGGGCAGAGAGGGATCTGAGGAAGAGAGGAGGGAGTCAAATTGAGAGATAAATAAATGAGCTTTAGTACTGAGAGGACTAAAGACCAGGCAGTCCTCAGCCGGTCAATAAACAAACAATTATTAAGCGCCTGCTGTGTGCCAAGCACTGCGCTAAGCTAAAGGGAGAGGGAACACAGAGTGGCCCTGATACGAAGTCTAGGGCAGCTCAGAAGAATGCAGAGGGCAAGAGAATGGGGGGTCACTGAGGGACTGGGGAGTTCAAGGGTTGGGCAAATGAAGGACTGAGAAGGCAGAAGAAATGAACGGATTGAGAGGCCCTGGGGCTATGACAGCCCGGAGTGTGGGAAGTCGGGGCTTCCGGGCTAGGGGACAGAGGGTATGAAGGAGACAGAGAGCAACGAGGTGCGGGGGCAGCGGGAACAGGGAGGCCTGGGGTGGGGGGCGGGATGAGAACAGAGGAACAGGAGGGTCAGGGCACAGGACCGGGAGAACCTCGGAGAGGGAACAGTGAAGACTGGGGGCGCAGCTGTGGGGACAGAGGTGACTGAGGTGGGTAGAGGCATAGGGAACTTGGGGAGACGGAGTAAGTAGAGAGGATGATGGCACCTGGGAGGAGAGCGGAGGGGCAGCGGCAGCTGGGGGCCCCGGCCGCCCTCACTCACCGCGTCCCAGTGATCGTACTCGTAGCGCCGGCGCCGTAGCTCGGGCTCCAGCTCCCGCCTCAGCGTCTCCTCCTCCACTGAGCTCAAGAAGCCAGGACGCACCACTGCCGCGCCCCGCAGGCGGCGAAGCACGGTGGGCCCGGACCCCCGCAGCCAGCCGGGCCAGGTTCCCAGTCCCGGGGCCCGCAGCGCCCCCAGGGCCAGGTGCCCGCTCCAGACCATGATCCGGCCGCCCCGGCCGGGTCAGGGGTAGCCAAGCCAGGGCCCTCCCTTCCCGTCAGCGATTGGCTCGTGACCTCCCGGAGGTCTGACGCTATTGGCTGCTTCCAGGCCCCGCCCCCAGCTTTGGGAGGGCGCCGCGAGCATCTTAACTATCACGGCCCCGCCCCCGTCCTGCTGACCTCCGAGGGCTAGAGGCCCCGGGGGGCGGAGCCTGAGGCGCAGCGATGTTGACGGTACATCGGCGGCTCTTGGCTCAGGGCCTTTCCAAGGTGGAGGCGGCGTTGGCGCCTATCGCACGTGGGCCCACAGAGTCCCGGGAAGGAGCCCCCACGTGAAGCCTTCCGACCGGGGCGCCTCCGCTCCATGGGCAGCCTGGCCCGTCCTGCTTCCGGGCAGCCGCGGGGGGAGGGGAGCGAGGGGAGCAGAGTCCAGGGCAAGCTCAGGACGTGGACAAGGTGTCCGGTGGAAATGACAGATGAGGAGTCGGAGGACCTGGATCCAAACCCCACCTTTGCTTTTTTAGCACGAGTCTTGGGCCTACAAAAGGAAGGGGCTGGCCTCTAATGTCCACCCCTAAACTGTCCTGGGTCCAGGTTTGCCATCAAGGTGTGGCTGGAAGCATGCCCTCGAGGTCTTTCTAGTCCAGCCCCCTCATTTGACAAGAGGAAACAGACCAGGGAAGAAATGACTGGCCCAAGGTCACAGGACAGCAATCTTTCGGCGTCCTCTAATCTAGCACTCTAAGTGACTGTAGCATTCACAGCTTTGTGTGGTGGATAGTGAAAGGCTTATCATCTTTATTATTTTACAGGGGTGTACAGCTTGGGAACTGGGCCTCATATACACAGGAGTAAGGGCTGCAATTCATTCCATGGGCATCAGGCAGTTCAGGTCACACAAAAACTGAGGGAAGAGCATCATATCGAACTTACAAAGATCTGCACAGCACTTAGGTGTCCTCTCACAACAACCCTGGGTGGTAGGTGCTATCATCATCCCCATTTTATGGACAAGGAAACTGAAGCTGAGAGGTTAGTGACTTGCCCAGAATCATACAGTTGGTGTGTCTGTTTGTTTTGGAGGTGGTCAGAGTTAAGGGACTTGTCCAAGATCCCTAGACAGCTAGTAAGTGTCTGAGGCCGGATTTCCACTCTGGTCCTCCTGACCCCAGGGCCGGTGTTCTAACCACTGAGCCACTTAGCTGCCTTGATATGTTTGCTGAATGAAGGAATACCTAAAGCTTTCTTTTCCCTTGGTTAAAGAAGAAAAATAAGGAAGACAGCAGGGACCAAAAAGTGACCAAAGTTTTAATTTAAAATCCATGCTCTCTGGCAAGTCAGTTCTGGGGCAGTAGCCCAGCTCAGCCGCTACTCCTCTGCTTCACCTCCAGATGGGTCCCCGGAACCCCCTGAAATCTAAAGCTACAACAGGAGTCCTGGGACAGAGCAGCACAGTGCAAAGGTCAGGGGAGAACCAGTGTAGACAAGGGGGGGGGTATCATTTGAGGGATCTACTCCTCACTGTCCACAGGGAGGTGTAGGTTCGTCCATCCTCAGGGCCCAGCTGGAGCAGGGACTTCCACAGGCTCCTTCTGTACCAGCTCTGGCTCATCTTCTCCATCGTGTGGGGGGTGCACCAGCACTTTGTCCAAGATGCCAAACTCCTGGGCTTCCATAGGACTCATGTAGCGGTCCCTTTCCATGGCAGCCTCTGTGAGAGGGTAGAGTCACAGTGATGAATGAGAGAGGTTCCCTACACTTTTGGTAGTCAGAACCTAGACACCAAACACAAATGGTCATCTGAACCCAGGACATTCCCCTCACCCCCACCAAGGGCCTGACCATCAGAGGCAGCTGTTTAAAGAGCTTAGTCCTGAACCTACACTTGGCCAGCAACCTACAATTTTCTTCACTGAGGCCATAGCAGGACTGGACTTGGAATTTAGGAGACTTGGGTTCAAATTTTGCCTTAGACATTTACTAGCTGTGTAACTCTGGGCAAGTCACTTTACCTTGCTGGGCCTCAGTTTCCTTACCTGTAAAATGGGGCCAATAACTTCCTATCTCAAAGGGTTATTATGAGAAACCACTTTGTAAACCTTTAAACACTAAATACTAAAATGTGAGCTATTTTTATTTGCTGCTGCTGTTTGTGCTTTGTTCTTGAAGAGGATCATGACATGAGGGAGGTGATGCCATGACATGCAAGTGGATTGGATTAAGTGGGGCAGGGCTGTGCAGAGTCACCAGCCTCACTTTCTCCTCAGGAGCGATCTGGGTCTAGTGGCCAGATATAGATCAGGATGATTGGAGATGGCCCAGGATGCAGTGAGGGACCTTGGCCTTTTCAAACTAAGGTCTTTAACAGGTCTCGGTTTGATTGGGGCAGTGCCCATTCAGTGATCAAGGCTTAATAAAACGGCAAAGAATGGCTTCTTTCAAAAAAAAAAAAAATAGATCTGAGAGGGGAAGACCCTCAGGATTTTTGGCAAAAACAGAAACAACTGTTATTTACATTCATTCTGAGCCAATCATGGCCCAAACAGTGACCAAGTGGGGCTTGGTTTGGGACCAGAGTGATTTGCGGTTAAGGCTGGTGTTTAAGAGGGAAAACCAAAAGCCCCAGCCAAACAGACCTGTTAAAGGAGAGGGAATAGGAGAAAATTTAAATCTCAAAATCTTATGAAAGTGAATGTTGAAAACTAAGAAAGGCCCAGAGAGTCCCAAGCCCGGGGCACACTCACCAATCACATCCAGAGGCTGCTTTGTGTGTTTCGCATAGATACCATAGAGTTGCTTCTTTAGCTTCATGATCTCCTCAGCCTGAATGGCGATATCCGTGGCTTGTCCCTGGATGGGGGAGGAGGGGACCGGATGAACAGCCAGGGACGGCCCACACAGGGGACACTTCCCAACTTGCAGGGAGCCCAGCCTGCAGTCAATGATTCAATAAATACTTATTAAGTGCTTAATAAGGGCTCACATTCATATTGTGTTTTAAAATTTATGAAGTGGTCCCTCATCACAATTCTGTGAGGAACCATAGTGCAAAGGACTGTTACCCTCATTTTACACATTAGAAAACTGATATTCACAAAGGGGAATTAACTAGGCCAGGGTCACAAAGGTACTGCCACAGCCATGATCAGTAAGCGTTTATGAAGCACCAACTGTGTGCTGAATGCTGAGCAGAATGCTTAATAGCCAGAACTCAAATCCTAGTCATTCTTGATATCAAATCCAGCACCTTTCCCTACATAAAGCTGCCTATTACAAACTGAGAAAAGCACAAGGTTTCCATAACATAGTCCTTGCCTTTGTGAAGCTGGTATGGGTATAAGATGCAAACCTATAAACCCTAACATAAGACAATGCATGATCAGGTCAGAGAGCCAGTCCTCAGCCAGGTGGGATCCTGTACAAATCACTTAATCTCTCAGTGCTCTAAGCCAGACTGACTTAGAAAACCACAAACCAACATTCTGTGGTCTATTTTGTCAAACCTTTGCCAATTACATTTTAATCTCTTGGGAGTTGTGTGGGCTCCAAGCCTGACACCTCTGCTCTATACAGTAAGATGGTAAGTCGCAGAGAAAGTGCTGATCTGCACTTGGTGGAGGGAGTTTCCTTACCTGGGAGGTACCTATATAAATGAAATCACAGGTCTATGTCTATCCCTAGGCTATGCATTATATAAGTACCAAATACAAAGGGCAATAATGAGAGACTGGAGAGGGGGAGGGCGCCTCTTTGCCAACTGGGAAGATCAGGGAAGGTTTCATGGAAGCAACAGCATTTGAATTGGGCTTTTAAAAGTGTGTGAAATCAAAGGAGGGGGAAGGATGTACAAGGTAGAGCCTCTGTTCATCTTAACTCTTTCCTGCAACATTCTACCCTGTCCCTCCCCAGAAGCTTCTGCCCTGAAATAACACTGGAGCAAACACTGTCAAAAGCCTAGGTTCTAGAGCCTCAGTATCCTAATCTGTAGAATGAGGATAATGATGCACTTAGTACCTCAAGGCTGTTAAGGAGTTTCAAGCACTTTATAAATCCTAAAGTGCTACATAAATAAAAACTACTACTATGGATGGGACACCAATTTGTAAAGTGCAACGTACCATGTAAACACAAGATTCTACTGTGCAAGGGCAGAGGGAGGAAGAGAGTAGAGGTAGAGAAGGAAGACTGATGGAGGGTGCAGAATGGGACTGGAGTGGGAACGCAGGGAGGGCTAGAGAAAGGTGGTGGGAAGGGAGTGAGAAAGGAAGGTTTTTAGGAACAGGGAGGGATGGGGGAGGTTGAGGGAGAAGAGCGAACAGGGGAGTGCGGGGCAGAGAGAGGGCTGAACGACAGTACAAGGAATAGGAGTCAAGAGGAAGGACAGGGAAGAGAAGTGGGAATGAAGCAGGGCTGCCTATGCTGCTAGAACATGACTCACCCGGGCCCCTCCGGACGGCTGATGGATCATGATTCGAGAGTTGGGCAGTGAGTGGCGCATGCCAGGGCAGCCAGCTGCAAGCAGCAGGGAGCCCATGCTAGCGGCCTGGCCCACGCACCAAGTGCTGACGGGGTTCAAGATGTATTGCATAGTGTCATAGATGGCCAGGCCCGAAGTCACAATACCCCCTGCCACAGCAGACAAGGATAGGATGAAGACAGGCTTCCACTCCCACCCCAAGCCACCTTCCAGTCACTAAGAAAATTTGATCCATGCCCCTGACTCCAAGTTCCCCAACCCAAACCTAGCCCATTTTGAACTCTTGGCTCAAGGTTAGGAAGCCTGCCTTTGCCTATGTCCTTCCCACAGAATACCCCCCCAGGCGTTCTCTTCCTCCCTCCTCCTGGCCTCATCTTCTTCCCTCCGCCACCCTGGGATTCTCAGAAGCCCTCTGGGGCTCCTGGCCTAGTTCAAAGCCAGGCCCAAGCCCTACCTCCATACAGGCAGAGGTGCCCTTCCCATTCCATCAGTATCTACAGCATCCCCCCAGAGAGCAGCTGTGG